TGGGGTACTGCCCGGTTGGTACAGTAGCGCCGAGGAGCGGTGCTGCGGGACCAACCCGGCAGCGCCCCAGCTGCTCTACCCCAGGGGTAGGCAAGAAAAGCCTGGTCTGCTGGGGGGGAGGAGGGGCACTAGCAGCTGCATCCCCGCCCCCAGCAGACCAGGGAGACGCGGGTGGCGGGACTGCCCGCGTCCTCCACGGCTTTGCTCCATCTCCCTGGTCTACTGACCAGGGAGATGGGGAGCAAATCCTTGGAGCATGTCCGCAGCAGGACAGCCCAGGCGCGCCCGGGCTGTCCCGCTGCGGGCGTGCTCTGCGGCTTTGCTCTGCGTCTTCCTGGTCTGCAGACCAGGGAGACGCAGAGCAAAGCCCCAGAGTACACGGGCGGCAGGACCGCGAGGTCCCGCAGTCCGTGTACTCTGGGGCAGCCCCGTTCGTAACTGTGTTCGTAACGTCGGATCCGCGTAAGTCGGGGACTGCCTGTACTGTGCAAGCCAATCCGTGGACACACTGACTTGAATGGAACTTAAAACAAATTTACAAGGGGCTGTCCCCACAGAACTCATTGGCAGAAAGGGGTCTAATAATGATAAAACCACACCAGAGAGGGTATTTAAACCCATCTTAATTAAGCAGAGAGAGCACTCACAGGCAAATGGTGGCAGAGGTCCTTGTGCTAATTTTTGTATGTGTGTGTTCTTCCTTAGTTCTGCTAGGAAACTTATTTGCATAGTGACTCATCATTGGGCAATCTTCTTTGGGATATGGGAAATAGGAACCCTAATTTGATGTAAGAACATGTATTATTGTCTTTTCATTTCAACCCTTATGACATTCGGGGTCAGGATACATTGGTTCAGTACTTCTTTCCAATTTGGAGGTGCTGTTTACAAATTAGGACAGGTGGAAGTTCTTGCTTCTGAGATAAAATAATTTCCCTACTATTTGTGGCTCTAGTAGACCTGTGACACAAGCTGGTCTGGTTAAGTCACTGAAGAGGAATTTTAAAGACACGAGTATAATTCCTTGAGCTGCCACAGGCTTTTTGGGTGACATTGGATGAATCATTTAATCTATCCTGTACCTCAGTTCTCTGCCTATAAAATGAGGATAATACTTTTTTAATTTCCTAGAGGTGTTGAGAGGCTCAAACTCATTAATAGTTGTGAGGCCCTTAGATACTACAGTGATGAGGGGCTGTGTAAGTACCTAGGTAGAAAACAGAACAGATAATGGTGATTAACCTTTTTGGTCAATCTTGATATCTGCTCTGTATGCATGTAGGCCTTCTGCTCACGCAGAGTCCAAATGAAGGCAGCAGGGCTCTGAGGTCTGCCCATGTTGATCAGGACATCATCGCTGCCCATAACTAAACATGAGTGCACATAAGCTGAGTTAGTTTTTAAGTATTTACATTTAATTTTCAGAAGGAAAACGTTGCCACTTTCAGAGAGTACAATTTTGTTGTTCATGACTTATTGTGAGTAGTGTTCTTGCAACAATAGCTATTTAGACATTAAAATGATAACAGAGCTAATTTGGGCATTATGATAATTTCTATTATTTAGTCTGACATTCATGGAATTATTTTCCCCTCCGAAGTAAATTGCATAGAGTAGGAAAGAACACTGTTTTTATTCTAATGCTGAATTATATCAAATTTCCGAGTTATTCTTTAAAATTGCTGCAAGGAACAATAAAGCTTCTTGTTGATCAGTAGTGCGGTAGTCATTCCTTTTGTGAAGAAATGAGGCAAAGGATTACAGGCTGCATTCCCTATATAATCATCCCTCAGTTGCATTACCAGAGTTCATTAATTAATGGCCCAATCCTGCCAAGTGCTGAACATCAACAGCTCCCATTGACTTCCCAGTTTTCAGCACTTTGAAACATGAGTGTTTGTATCCTGTATAAATGTTGATCCCATTCTGTGAATTTGTGGGTGTATTTTTATCTATATAAATACCTAATCAACCAAGACATCCAATTAAGGCCTTGGCCTCACTGATACTTGTTGGCCATGAGTTCTGTTGGGATTGGGTCTACAAATTGACCTGAAATATGAACTCAACTTTAAAAAGCATGTAAAGTTCATAAGATGTTACAGTAACATGATGGTGAGCAAAGGCACGAAAACTTGACAGAATAACTGAGCGAGTTTTCAAACAAAAAGGCCTACTGATATGATTTAAGAACTGTGTTGAAATTATGCTTGTTAAAAATAAGAGAGGGGGAGGTGGAAATTAATGAGTTATAATTAGTATATTAAGCCTAATTGGAAGACAAAATAATGAGGATCTGGGCTATTCCACTCATCACTCCTTTTTTGGGACCTCAAAAGAAAGAGAGATTAAGGAGAATGATAAAACAGCAGCAGCGAAAAGAACCCCCAAAACCAACATCAGATGGCAAGAACAGAGGCTATTGGAGCAAGTGTCACCATCATTGCTGCCACCCCACCATTTCCTGAGACTGTAGCTCTTCCTCATTCTGATCTGGAGACATGTACTGGCCAGAATGGGCCAGAGAGAGAAGGACCCAGATGATATCACCACCCTATTAGCTCCATCTGAATCCAAAACACTTTTTGGAATGATAGTTACTGCTACCTTTGATATCATTTAAAAGACTTTGATGGGATTCACACACTCCCCCTGTGTCAGGATTCTCTCACCCTTTCACACCATCAAACGAGGGAACTTTTCCCTTCTGAATCTGGACTTTAATAAGTGCCACAATGACATCTCCAGACCATCTCAACTAACTTCTCTTTCCCCAAAAACAAGACTTATTACCATCTAAGACTGCTAACCAAGAGGGGATTTCTCCTTTTAAAAACTTGCTCCCGCTAAGGGGACAGGAAACAAGGGATGACATTAAAATGAAAGCCTTAAATGCTTTAATTGTTTTTTTTTCTTTTTTATATCTCTAATACAAGGTTAAAAGGATGTTTAATTGTGTGTTTTCATAACGCAAAACAGGCCGAGGTCTCTGGATACCAAGCATTGGACCCTTTTTTACCCTTGTTTATGTTGAACAGTGTCTCGGTTATGTTAACATCATTAGCCCATTTATTCCATCTAAATTAATCCAACAGTTTCATTGATTAATTATGCATTTTAAATAAACCTAATAATTTCCTTTTATCAGTTTTAAATGTACTTTCAACTAAATGCTCTCTTGTTCCTGTATTATATGAGAGGGTAACAATAGGAGCGCGTGACTTCCTTTCTCTGTGCATTCATTATATTTCCGTTCCTATTATTCACCCTTATACTCATCTCTTTAAACAGTGCTGAGTCTTTAATCTCGCTTCAGGTGGATCTCTTTCTTTGCCTTTAGTCGTTGTCCTCATCGTCTTCTGAACTTTTCAGTTTCTGCTCTTGATCCTTGCTTGGGTCTGATACTTATTGATTTAAAGGCATTATATGTTTTACACTGATACCGAAGAAATCCACTGGGCATGATAATTAGAGCCCTGCATGGCTATGAAAGTTGTATCTGCACTGGTATCTGTATCCACAAAAGTGACCGTGGATATTCACATCCATATCTGTCAATGCTCGTACCTGTGAATATAAAGCAGATAACCACAGATAGATAGCCACAGCTTTGCAGAACCCTAATAATAATAATTTCAGAAATACTGGTGCAGACAGCAAACCTCTTATTGTCTAATAACTTGTGGATATGGTTGATTGGAAAAGATCACAATCTGAAGTACTGAAGGAAATTGTGTTCAGTTGAACTTTTCAGAATAAATATAGATTTTGAATGATTAATGTGTAAAAATCTGTAACGGCAACCACAACAGCTTTACCTTAAATATTTTGCAAACGTTAATTAATATTCTTAGCAGAATTTCCCTGTGATTTGTAGAACCCTGTGCAAAGTGACATGTGTGGAGTCCCACCCATTGGTGACTGCCTCCCTCCTGCCTCTATGTACACTTGACACTTCCAAGATGTTTGGTACCTCTCACTTTATACACTAGGAAGCTAGAGGTGCAGCACAATCTTCCTAGCATGGAACAGGTGAGGGACAGTTAAGAATTTCACTCTGTTTTGTAAGCTGGTCTTCCTGGATTCAGACGTGGCTAAGCAGGGGAATTTGGGGTAATAGTATGGCTGGCAGGTCAGACATATATATGCAGGTTATGTGGGGTGTCTGGAAAGATAAGGCCATCTCTGTATCTGATCACTAGGCTTAATGCTATCGCTTGCAGTCTATGTTGTGGATTCACCAGCGCCAAGTCCCATCTGATGAAGTAGTAGCCTATGGTACCTGTTATTCTTCTGATGCCCAATTTCCTTCTCCCAACCTTCTCATCAGCATGTACTCTGACTATGGCCAATGAAATGGGGATTGGCAGGAGAGTATCCAAGTTCCTTCTGTTCATGTATGAAAATGAAAACAGAACATGCACATGTTTGTACTGACAAAGAGAGTGCCAGGGAGAGGACTGGGTTGGGAGCTAGGTCTTCTAACACAGTTCCCTACAACTATCTGTCATGTCTGTGTCAAAAATGTGCAGTGTGTGAAAATGTTAGAATATACATGAGACCTGAAAATTAGAGCTACAAGCCTGGTGCAGTGGCCTCATGTGCAGGGCCCAATCCTGTGAGGTGGATATATGTCTTTCCCCAGCATGGACTTTATTACCAATTTACCCCCTTCCCCCGTAGTGTCTAAGACACTGACTATCCTGCCTTCCCACCTACTCCTGGAGTCTGCACAGGAAGTGCAGACTGGTTCTCTTTCCTGCCCTGAGCCCTTCTTCTCCCTGGACCCATCCTCATCCTTCAGGTCTAGGGTTGCCAGATGGTTTAAACAAAAATACCGGACACACTTGACATTACATCACAATCTACATCACATCTTATTTAGAAAATACCGGACATTTATATTTTCTCATTTATATTTTCTCAATTTGTTTCCTGAACAGAAAGCTCAAATACTGGACTGTCCGGTTCAAAATTGGACACCTAGCAACCCTATTCAGGTCAGGGCTGTGAGGCCTGATGGGGAAGTTTGCTCTGTACCCATGCTGTGGATAAAATAGGCCATTATTGTACAGGGCTGTCATTCTGAGCCACCAGCTCTCAGTTCACATGCACACTAAGTAATACCATGTAATTTAAAAGCAGTTAAAAAATAATATATGTATCATGTTCCATGTCTCTCACTCCTAGTTATAGTCCTGTCAGCTTCAGTTGTGTGTAGAAACACTGCCACCTAATGGCATGTTGGGTTAATTAGTCACCTCTTTTATAAGGCCAAACCCTATCATTTCATAAGGGTGTATCCTGCATGTTTTGTGGCTGTGACCCAGATTATGCAAACACATGTTTAATTTTAATGGGAGTCTCAGGCGCTTAGATTCAATAGAGGCTTTACACTATTTGTAGGATTGGGGCTGCATAAGGCAGTCTCTTTTATGTGATTATGAACTGCTGCATTCAGCAGTCCCCTGCTTTTTGATTATGCCAGGCACAAGTTAAGGACACTGTTGGTATTTTCTTAGATCCATCATGTGAAAAAGCTTTATGGAGTTTAGGGTTTGTAAAAAAAAAATAAAACCGAATGGAAACTCCATCACATGGACTGTATGTTAGTGAGTAAGTTTCACACAGCCTTGAATGGTGGCTAAATAAGATAGTTTTACCTGAAGAAAGCGTACAAGGTGTTTGAGCTGCCTCTCTAGTTGACAGTAATGCAGATTACATCTTCCACTTGAAACATGAACTGGTGGATATGAAAACAAAAGAGTGGAGGGAAACCAGCAGGAGTTAAAAATCAGGCAGAACTAAATAATTAAGCATTGATTGAATTATATTGGGCTATGGCATAAAGTCTTATTTCAATCACCGAGGACTAGACCAGCAGACCAGGCTTTTCTCGCCGACGCCTGGGACAGAGCAGCTGGGGCGCTGCCGGGTAGGTCCCCGCAACGCTGCACCTCGGCGCTGCGGGGACCTACCCGGCAGCATCCCAGCTGCTCTGTCCCAGGCGTCCCCAAGAGCAGCTGAGGTTCTGCCGGGTTGGTGTCTCAGAGCTGATGGGCGGCGCTACCGGACCACCCGGCAGCACCCCAGCAGCTCTGCCGCAGGCGTCCCTGATTCAGCTGCTGCTGAAACTGACCAGCAGCAGCTGAATTGGGGACACCTGGGGCAGAGCTGGACTATCGGAAGGAGAGGCTATGAGGGGTCTGGGGTGGCATCCCCCCTCCCAGACTCCTCATGGCCTCATAGCCCCCCCTTCTGATAGTCCGGAATATCTGATAATTCGG